TTCATCTGTTTTTTTTCTTTCATTGTTGATTTTGTTTCTACTGTTGGTTTGTGACTTTACAGACCCTGTGTCTTACAGAGTAAAACTACCCCATGGGGTTGTTTCGGTTTTAGTCTTTATGGAAAGGAGCCCTGGTAGCGCTCAGCTGCTAACCAAAAGGTGGGTGGCCTGAACCCACCAGCTGCTCCACGGGAGAAAGATGTGGCCGTCTCCTTCCATAAAGGCTACAGCTTTGGAAACCCTACGCAGTTCTACTCTGCCCTGTAGTGTCACTATGAGTCAGAAACAACCTGATGGCAGTGGGTTTGGTTTTTTGGGGTTTTTTAAAAATACTCTTTACGGAAGCAGACCATCAGGCCTGGTTCTTGCGCAGTGCTGCTGGGTGCGTGTGAACCATCAACCTCTTGGTTACCAGCTGAGGACAAACTGTTTGCGCCACCCAGGGACCTTTGTCTTCTTTCTTCTGATAGTTAATACCCAGAAGTCGGGATTCTTCATCCTTAGTTTCACTTCATTAAAACAGAGGTGTTTTCCAACTACGTCATATACAGTTTAGAAGGAACAATAAAGGTATATTTTTACCAATTACAAATTATGTAATTAAACTAAGAACAAATCAACAGAAACATTCAAGGCTAAATTAACAGCATACTATGTATAAATATTTTAAATGTCTCATTAGAGAATAACTTATTCATGCTGAGCTTGATACTAGCTTTACCTAGGGAACCTGTTTCAATCTTTTAGGCTAAGACCAAAAAAAAAAACCAAACCCATTGCCATCAAGTCGATCCCAACTCATAGTGAACCTAAAGAAGCACCCTATATCTATTTCATTAAACTCCAGGTTTTTACATGAATGCCTAATTCCTTCCATTGGAATTATCCACTTGGAGGGAAAAAAAAAAACTTTAAAGTACAGATTCTTCTTAAGAATGAGACAACCTACTTACCCCAATCCAAAATAATAACACAATACCCCTCCTCAACATGGCCATCTCTTCAGCCTATAAAATGCTAACTAGATTTTTAAGAATGTAGAATTTGGGGTTATTTTTACTTTCTTCTTTATACTTGTTTAGATTGTTTTGCTTTTTTTTTAACTACAAACATGTAAAAACTATCTTCATTTTAAGAGGGAAAACATGTCACTAAGTAGCCATTAAGAATGTCAATAAAATTTTTCCAACAATAAAAAAAAAAAA